CCTCTCCTCCCCACAGATCTCACGCAACGTGCGGGTCTCGGGTCCCCAGGCGGCCGCCGCAGCTAGCAGCCCCGCACCTGGTAGGGCTCGTCCTGCATCCTGCGCAGCGCCAGGGCCTGTGCGCCCAGCGTGCCCACGATCCCGTCCAGGGCCTCGGGGCTGCTCAGCCACTTCCGGCGCATGAGCTTGTTGAAGTGCGGCTGTGGGGAGAGTGTGGAGCGGTCACAGCCTCCCCGCTTCCCTCCGCTCCCAGGAGGAGAGTTTCCAAGCCCTGCTGCTGCCTAGCCAAGGCCACACAGTGCTCAGGGACAGCGCTGGGAGGACCCTGCACCTGCCCTGCCCTGCCCTGCTGGGGAGGCGGCCGGCGCAGAGGGAGAGAGAGATCCAGGGCTGGGTGGGCTGGGACTGCAGAGCCGGGAGAGCAGGCGAAGTCTGCACGGGGTCCGAGAGGGCTTCCCCCGGGAGAGGACGCAAAGCCGAGACCCCAGTGCTGGTCACTGCCGGCCACTCGGCCGGGAGAGAGGAAGGCTCCGATTTCAGACGGGCACTCGGGTGTGCGGACCCGGAAAAGGGTGGTGGAGGCAGGCAGAACCATCTGCATAATAGCTGCATAATTCTCCCAGCCCGGCACGAAATGAAAACATGGAACCACGTTCAGAAATTACTCAAAACTTCAAGACGGCGACAGCAGAGCATTCCCCAAGCTTGGGCCTTCTCAAGTGCACCTGAGGGGGACTAAGTCCCCGAGGGGCGCAGTGTGGGCTCCAGGCGGGAGGCAGGAGGCTCGGAGGCCTGGGCGGGAGGGCATGGGGCCTGCGGTGGGATCGCTCGCTTTCTCTGGGGGCTGGGGAACCACGCAGGTTCTGGGCGGGGAGGGGAGGGTCGGGAGGAGGCAGGAGGAACCCAGGGGCTGCCCGGGGAGGGCGAGGCCTGGGAAGAGCTGGACGGAGCCGGGCTGGAGACTGGGAGGGAGCCGAAGACGCGGCCAGCGCGGCTGCATCCACGCAGGTGCTCATCCCACGCGGCCCCAGGACCAACCCCTCTGCTGCTCTTGTCCTTACAGCAGTGAGTTTTCAGAACTTCCAAAAATGGGGCTTTTGTTTAAAAAAAAAAAAAAAGCGGGGCACAAAGTAATCTGCAAAACGCCGCCCTGCTTCTCCAGGGCCCCTCGGCGCGGGGCGCCCGACACCGGTCCGCGCATGCGCACACGCCGCCGCGGCCCTCAGCGCCGTCTCCCACCTCGGGCCCCGCGCGTCCTGCTCTCGCTCTCCCAGGGGTCTCGCTCAGTCTCCCTCCTTCCCTTTCTCCCTGATCCACCTCATTCGCGCAAAGCATACAGAGTGGTTTATAGACGAGGATCCTAGACTCAGCCAGGCCTCCCCGCCCAGGCCCCCTCTCGGCTGAACAGAGCGCCTGCTAAACCCATCTCCCGGGAGTGTGGCGAGGATTAAGTGAGTCATCCCGAGTTTAGTGCCCAGCACGGAGGACACAGAGCTTGCCGTTACTATGAGGTCGGCACCTGATGCCACCAAGGAATCCTGCTTCCATTTGTTAGGTATAAAGTGACATTGTTAAAGGCCTGCGATCCAGCGTTTAGGGAGGCTGAGGCAGGAGGAGTGCAAGTTTGATGCCCACTTGTGCTACAGAATGAATTTGAGGCTGGCCTGGACTGGATTGTGCTATTACCCCGCCCAAAACTTGATGTAGTTGGTGATACTGATTTTTAAAAGGTTTCTTGTCTTTTGGAGATATAGGCTGATAGAGGAAATGACAAAATTCCACGGGAGAAGGCTGGGGGCGTGGTGCAGTGGTACCCAGGGTCCTTGCCACCAGAGGTCTCCAGTCCGGTCCCCGGGGCCACACAAGAGGAAAATAACTGGGGGAGGGCAGAGTGGCAGAGAGACAAGATCGGCCAGGGGTGATGTTTGCTGAGCTGAGCCATGAGTGGATGGGGTCATTCTGCTGTCTTCCTGCTTCGGGTTATGTATGCTTGAAGTTTTCCATAATGAAAGTTAATTTAGACAACTTTCAAGCAACCCCTTCACTGGAAGATTCCAGTGGGAGGACACAGTTTGAAAGTGAATGATAAAAACAGCCAGGAAACAGCTCAGTGGCGGCGAGCTTGCCTAGCAGGCACCAGGCCTCGGGCTCCCTCACCAGTGCCACAATAAATACATGAGCTTGTTGACGGCAGGTGACAGTAAGAGCCACGGAAGACAAATAGAGCAGAATGTCAGGAAAGGTCTCAGGCTTCCTTTTTAGTGATAGGGTCTCGATACATTGCCCAAGCTGACCCTGAACTGGGCTCAAACGATCCTCCTGCCTCAGCCTCCTGAGTAGCCGGGACTACAGGTGATTCTATGGGAAGTGGGATGATCAAGAATGGTCTCATTGAGAAGGTGACATTTCAGTCAAGATGTGAAAGACAAGATGCAGGGACCCATGGGGTATTCGGGAGAGCATTCTCGGCAGCAGGACTGGCACGTGCAAAGGCCCAGGGGCTGCTCTGGCTAGAGGGGAAGGAGCAGGTGTGCAGAGCCACGACAGGGACTCTGGCTTTTGTTCTGAAGATTCAGAGAAAAAGGGATCCTGGACATACATTTTGGAGGCCTCAGTGAGGAGGGCTCCACTCAAGCTCCCTCCTGCTGGTGGCTCTCTGTCCTCTCCTTGGCCAGTTTCTCCCTTCTTCCTTCTGGTCCCCCCACCCTTGCCCAAACACAGTGCTGGGCTGAGGGGCTGCAGGGCGGGGCTCACTCTCCTGCCTTGGCACAGCCCTGCCCCTGCCCCTGGCTCACCTGCAGCTCCTGGAATAGCAGGTCGGCCAGGACTTGGTGGCAGAGCTGGGTTACACGGTCCAGAGCGCAGGACGAGGCTTCCCGGGCTGGCTCACTTTCAAGGGGTCCCACCCTGGCCAGGCGCTCAGCCAGAGCTCTGTGGAGATCAAGCAGAACCAAAAGTCAGGGAGTCCCAACGCCTCGGACCAGCTTCCTGGACCAGGCCCCCATTGCGTGGACCCTGTTTGTGGGGTGAAGGAAGTATCTGGTCAGATGAGAAACTGAGGAAGATCAGGGGCTGGGCACAACCATGGGAGCCCAGGTGTGGTGCTGCATGCCTATAATCCCAGGGCTCAGGAGGCTGAGGCAGGAGCATCCCCACCAGGCCAAAGCCAGCCTGAGCTATGTGACTAGTTCAAGACCAACCTAAACTATGTAGCAAGACCCTGTTTCAAAACAAAACAAAACAAAGAGTGTCAGAGGATGCCTGAGAGATGGGGCTGTCTGGGTTTTGGGGTGTCAGGGAGGATGGGGAGCATTTAGGGAATGGGGGTTTCTGGGGGACTTAAGGATGTCCGGGACTGGGGACATCTGGAGGCAGGAGGGGCTGAGGGGTACCTGGGTGGATAGGGAATATCAGGAGGCGTGGAGATGTCAGAGGGAGTCTAGGGTATTTTGGGGGAAGAGAGGTCTCTTGGGGCCTCTGGTACTGGGGATGGAGCCCAGTGCCATTGCACTGAGCTCCATCTCCAGCCCTTTAAATTTTTTTGCTTTGAGACAGAGTCTCGCTAAATTGCCCAATCTGGGCTGGAATTTTGATCCTCCTGTCTCAGCCTCCCAGAGTGCTGGGATTACAGGTGTGTGCCTGCCCTCTCCTGGTGCTCTCTGGGGGTTAGTGAAGAGGCCTCCATTCCACTGTCTGTGGCTCCCAATTTAGCCTGTGGTTGTGCAGTTCTGCTCTGGGTCCTCACCGAGGGGCGGGCTGCGATCCCTGGGTTCCGACCCACTTGCCTACGCCTACAGAAACAGCCCTGGGGCCAGCCGGAAGCTAACAGGAGGGTAAGGTGTCCTGGAAATGTGGAGCCGATGCCCATCCATCAGGCACGATCAAACAGAGACCAGGCTGCTGGGCAGGAGATTATGTACGGTTTCAATATTAAAAAATAATAACAATAAGGATTTTTTTCAGTGCTAGCTCCTGAACGCAGGGCTTCACACATGCTGGCCCCTGCCCAGCCCTGGACATGGGGACTCTGTGCTCAAGGGAAGCTGTCCCGGCTGCCAGGGGCACAGGGAAGAAGCGGGTCTGAGGCTCTGCTGTGTGCAGTCAGCCCTGCAATGTCCACAGCGCCGCCTCTGTGGTTCAGCCAACCAGAAGGAAAACATTCAGAAAAAAAACGCTTCTCTAGCCAACATGCACGGATTTTTTGTCACCAGTCCCTAAATGGCCCTGTATCACAGCTACTCACTTAGCACGTCATTGTGTTAGGTATGATAAGTCATCTAAATTAAGGTTTATTCGTCTCAAAAAACCCAAAGCAGGGCCAGGGATTTAGCTCAGTGACCACCACCTGCCTTGCAAGCGCAAGGACATGAATTCGATCCCCGGAACCCCCCGCAAAAAAACCCAACCAACCAAACAAACAAACAAACAAAATCCAAAGCAAATACATTTTAAAATGAAATTTAAAGTAAATCAACAAAAGGGCAAAATAATAATTCTTAGAATCACTGATTCTGGCTTCTAGGTTTCTACAATTCCTCTCTCTCTCTCTCTTTTTTTTTTTTTTGGAGACAGGATCTTGCTAAATAGCCCAGGCTAGCCTCAAACTTGTGGTGATCCTCCTGCCTCAGCCTCCTGACTGCTGTGATTACAGGCGTGCACCACTATGCCCGGTGGCTTCTACGACTGTCACACCTCCTCGGTATTCTGATTCTGTTTCGAATCCTCCTCAGTGCTACAGTTGTCTCTAGGACTCTGGGATTTTACGCTCCTGAGGTCACCCTGGGCCTACCTGTGGTGCGCACTGAACCACCAGGAACCCATACCCTGGTTCAGCTGCCACCCGGAACTACCCCCACATATGGGGGGTCACGTGGGTGCTCTCACCTCAGGGGGGGCCCGCAGTTGACCAGAGCAATGGTTCTGCTGATGTAGATGTCGGGCGGCAGCTCCCGGATTCCCGGGTTCTCGTGGAATCGCTCCACGCGCTGCTGAAAGCTGGGGGTAGAGACAGGCAGGAGTCAAGGCCCACACAGCCCGGGGTCCTGACCCCTCCCACCGTACCTCTGCCAATTTGCGTGTGTGCTGGAGGTTGAACCCAAAGCCTCTGGCACTGAACTCCAGCCCTAACCCTTTTTAAATTGTTTTTCTTTTTAATTTTCATTTTGAGATGGTCTTGTGAAGTCGCTAAACTGCCCAGATTGGGATCAGACTTGCAGTCCTGCCTCAGCCTCCCAGGGGCGGGATCGCACGACACCCGGCTCCCGCTCACCCTTTCCCGTGCCGACTGCACTCTCTGGCAGGACCCCAGCTCCTGATGCCCAACCCCAGGCTGCCCCTTGGCCCCAGCCCCTACCTCTGCAGGAACTCCGCCAGCCCCGCTAGGCAGCAATGTGCCATGCGCTCCCCCAACTCCTGGCTGATGCGGGGGGCTCGCTCTGTGTGCTCTTCCAGCAGCTGCATGGGTCAGGGGGACAGGAGGTGAGGTCAGGCCAGCTCCCCCAGCCCACCCTGCCACGTCCAGTAGGTACCTCTTCCTCCTTCCGCCTCCTACCTCACACACATCCTGGGCCAGGCTGCCAGGCTGGTCCTCGGGGTTACCCCAGCGTTCCTCGTCCTCCTGCAGCACCCGAAGCAGGGCTGCCCGTGTCTGAGCCTGGAGGGGGCCGGGAGGCAGGCAGGCTTCAGGGCTGCACGGGTTCTTTCTTTCTTCTACCAGGGTCCCCTCCCTCCAAGCCCCGAGCAAAAGCCTGGATTCTGCCCAGCTGCCAAGCAAGGCAGTGCTGCTGAGAGACTCAACCTGCAAGCTTGCCCAGCCCTTCCATTGCCACGTCTAGGGTCTGAAGCTTCCTCCACCTAACAGCCACGGAGTGGAAGGGTGTACGCTTCATGGTTGGATGGTGCTGAGACTCTGCTCCTAGGTTCTGCTGAGCAATTAGTTCAAGACTATCAGAGTCTGGATTCAAGAATTGCAAAGGTTTCTGATTCTCTGACCCAATGAGTGGTCTTCAATTCAGCAAGTGGTTTGAGCTAGACATGTTCGATTCTCCAGGTTCTGGAGCTGTAAGGATCCCCTGGCACACAGCTAGGAAGTGGCACTGTGGCCAAGCTGGGTATGGTGACCGGGCCATTCTGCTCAGGAGCACCCATGCCCAGCCTGTGAGGAACCATGTTTACTCTCAGCCTCCAAGGAGCGCATAGCTGCTTTGATGCTGGTGCTGGGTGTGCTGGGCCCCTGAGCTGCAGATCTGTGACTGGGTTCCTCTCGCTCTGAGGCTTGAAGGCTCCTGGCGTATGGGACCTTGGCCGAGTGTCCCTCCTCCCCAAGAGCGGGTGTTCGGGATGCAGTGTGGGATACAGAAGGGACCAGTCTGGGCTGATGTGGCTTTGGCCTTGGGGCGAACTCAGAAGCTCACACAGGAAAAAGGGCACGAAAATAGTGAGGCAGGGAGCGGCCCCCCTAAACCTGCCGCGAGCCCCACCCCACAGATCACCTCCAAGTCCCACATCACCACGGTTAAGTCCCAAGTACCTTGACATCTGTAACACATTCATCCTCCAGACCCCGAAGGGTGCCAGGGGACAGCAGGGGCCCCAGCTCCCCATTCTCCAGAGCAACCATGTCCACCAGCCCTAGGACCTCCCTGGGGGTAGGGGTAAAAGACAGGAGTTCTGTGAGAGGGGGCTGGCCGATGGGACCGCCCTTCTCTCTCAGCCACTGCTTGTCATACTGGGCCACTCCCTTCCTCTCTCCCTGCCAGCTTTGCTCATCTGTGAGGAAATCTTTGAAATAATCGCTCCCTATTTCCAGCTGAATCACCTGATGGATGGTGTTTGGGCAAGACTTTGGGGTCAAGTTCAGGCTTGAGGATCTGACAGTGAGGCCTCGCCCATATCGGCTTCCCCAGATAGACGCCCCTTTCTGCCCCTGCTCCTCTGGCCCCTGTACGCCTGGGGCGGGCACCTCTGTGCCTCCCCAGCCCACCCTCACTGCAGGCTTTTCTTCTGGCATCTGGCCCATCAGAAATATCATCTCCTTATGAATTGGACCCAACCTGTGTCTCATAGCGCCAGGAAGCTGTCTAGACTCCCGGTCCTGCCTGCTCCTCTCCCGGATGGGCTGACAGCCTCCATGACTTGTGCTCACGAAAGGCTCTGTGGGGCTGGCATCTTCCTGGCCACAGCATCCTGACTTTGGTGCAGGAACCCCTTACTCAGCCCTTCACCCGCCAAAGTGTGGTTTGGGTATGGCCGAGGGAGCCCCTAGTCCCTGGAGTGAAACTGTGATGGGCGGGGACCACTACATCCCCTCCTCCAGCCACAAAAGTGTATGTTTTAGGGTTTGAGGGCTCCAAAGATTCCAACCCTGACAGGTCAAGGACCCTAAGGTGCTGGATGCTGCAGGTGTAGCATTCCGAGGGGCCACAGTGCAGCAGTTCTAAAGCTAGCAGGGCCAGCGAGGTCCAGGGCTAGGACCTAAAGGGGGGAGGAGGCTGAGGGGTGGGATTTGAAGGCGCACTGACACCAAGGCTCTAGAGTTGAAAGAATCATAAAGGCACAGTTTTAAGAGTGAAAGCTTCAACAGCGCTGATGCCCTAGGAGCTGGGGACAGGGCAGGGTGGGACTCTGGAAGTCTAAGGCTCCAAGTACCAAGGTTGAGGGTCAGCAGGTGCCCTAGATGGGCACAGGCATGGTCCACTCCAGAGGGGAGGTGGAGGCAAAGACCCTAGTTATGTGAGTCCCCAGGTCGCAACTGGATGGGTCCACACACACTGCTGTGAGGACTGCCCTGGTCAGCGGTGCTGAGACTCTAGAACAGTGGGGTCAGTCGGTTCCGGGGCTGGAAGGGCAGGTGGTGCTAAGGCTGGAAGATCGGAAGGGTCAAGGCATCTGAGATTCTAGGAGTGGAAGCGTCTGATGCTCGGGTTCTAGGTCTGAGGGGTCCCTGGTGCTCTTGGAAGGAGAGGGTGGGCTGTGCTGAGCCAAGAAGAGCAGATGCGGTAGGGCCGAAGCTCTGGGGCTGGACTAGCCCGGAGGTTCCCATACCAAGGGGTCAGTGTGCCAAGATGGGGGTGGCCAGCGCTGTGACCACCACCCTCGCGCACAGGATCTTAGGGCCAATGGAGTCGGGGTTCTGGGATCAAGAGTCGGCTGTTCCAAGGTCCCTGGGGTCTGCAGCGGCCAGCCTGAGGGTGAGGCTGGGGCTAAACGACCTGGCAGCTCCAGTCCCAGCTCACCTGGGGTACACCTGGTTGTGCCAGTGCAGCAGAGCGTAGCGGTCGGCCAGTGGCAGCCTGCGTCGGGCG